TATTTTAAAAATTTATGCATTGATTATTTAGAAGAGAGAAGGGACTTGCCCAATTTTCTCTCTTCGATTGGAGAACATATACGTTCTAGAATTGTTTCTTTTGAATAATATAATTTATTATTCTATATATCATTTAATAAAATTATAATTTCTTTTCTGTAACTTTTGAAAAAAATTCATAAGCAAAATAATAATTGTTAGATTAGAAAAATATAATACTCACTGCTGATAATCACCTCTGGATGTATTTTGATTAAAGTGGTCAGCATTTTTCATTACTTTTGGCAGTATTTAATTAAAATTGGGCAGTAAAAAATATAATTTTGCAAGTTTAATAGTGTTTTGTATTCAGTCAGTTAAATTCTTAAAGTAGGTAAATACTTCAGTAAAATAATTTTTATCAAATAGAGGGTATCAGATTGAATTACTAATTTCCTATTTCGCCACAAAATTTATAAAATTATATTATTTAATAGCTTATCCTTGTAAAAACAAAAAGGAGTGCTATTTAAGAGTTAGTAAACTGTGAAAAGCCTTTTATCATATTTCTAAAAAAATGATTAAAATTTGTGTAAAAATAATTTTTCAATAAATACCTAAAAGTTTATGAAAGTGTGTAAAGGTGAACTAGATTTATTTAACTTTCGTTTTATTTTTTAAAATCTCATATCCTCGAAGAAATTTGACTTTAAAAAACATTTCTATTTTTAAATACTGCAGAGCAGATCCGGGTCACGGGATTTTTTTTCCGGGCAATTATTTTCCTAGATTCAAATTTACTAGTAATATAATTTGAAAATTGTTCATTTTTGTTTTATATATCTATAAATACATATAAAACATAATCCCAAAAAATATTTAAAAAATATCGTGGTTTGGCGTATAACCGACTCGTATATGTTTTACTCGTAATTATAGATATATAAAACAAAAAATGAACATTTTTCAAATCATATTACTAGTAAATTTTATCAATCGAATATTTAGTAAGTGGGGTTTTGAGCTCGGCAATCAGACAAATTAAATTATTTTCAAAATATTTTTTAGGATAATGCTTAGCACGTATATATATACGCGTATAATACAAAAATAAAGATTTTTCCATGGATAACGCCAGCAATGCAGTATTTGGTCATTCGGTCGGTTTTCGGGTCAAATCACGATATTTTTAAAATATTTTTTGGAATTATGTTTTATACGTATTTATAGATACATAAAACAAAAATCAACATTTTTCAATTTATCTTAATAGCAAATTTGATCAATCGTATATTTAATAAGTGGTCGTTTTGAACTCGGCAATCGGTCAAATCAAAATATTTTTTAGGATAATGCTTAGCACGTAAATATACACGTATAAAACAAAAATGAAAGATTTTGATAAATGACGCCAGCAATATTTACTTTAGAAAATTTTGTTTTACTATTCTAAACCTACTCATAAATTAAACATCAAAGAAACCTAAAAAAAATTTTTAATTTTTAGGTTTTTCATATGTATATATACCCAAATATAAAAAAAGTGCTATCCAATCATCATTCCGGTTTCCTAAAATGATACATATTAAAACATATAACGCCCTCTTACGGATATATATTTGTTAATTTTTAAAAGTTTTAATAAGCTAGTAAAATATATTTCTTACTAATAATATTAAATAAAAATAAAATTATATACTATATGATTTTTTATTATATTCTTCATTTATAATAAAAAAATGATTTAAGTATATTTTAAAAAAAGTTTAAAAAATTATCATTAATAAAATTTTGATTTATTTATGATTGATTGCTATTTAGCAATGCATTAGCAATTCAATATATAGTGGGGAAATTTTTTCCGGGGAATTATTTTCCAGGGTAATTTTATTCCGGGGATTTTTTTTCCGGAGAATTATTTACCTGGGAATTATTTTCTGGGGAATTTTTTTCCGGGTATTTTCTTTCCCAGGAATTAATATCCGGGCATTTATTTTCCGGGGAATTATTCTCCTAGATTCGCGAATACTGTATAGCAAATACCGCGAATGCACCATAGTAAAGGTATTACCGAGAAAATACTTCGCGAATGTATTACAGAGAAAGCCTTATCACGAAAATATTAGGGCAATAACGATATCACGATTTTTATAAATTAATTTATATTTTACAAATGGTTGTTATAATTAAATATGAAAATTCCTTTTGATGATACTTGCACATTTTTTCTATCTCATAATATGAAATTTGTCAATAAATATATTTTTATTTTTACGGAAATGATAATTTTATTTTAGGAGTACCAGTCCCAAAATATTTTTCCAATACCCTTGTTTTAAAGCAATAAGGAGAGTTGGTTATTGAAAATTTTTTGGCCTTTAATTTAGACACTTTTTATAAATATATATATGCTGTGAAATATGCATTTTTACAATAAAAATATCTTAATAATGTATTTCTAATAATGAATATCTTTTTGTATAAATTTATTCTTATTCATTTTTATTAATGATATAGAAATATAAATAGATAATCAAATTCATACCATAATTTAAAATATATTGCCTTATATTTATGAAAAGTATATGTTCTTTGGTAGCAATTAAAGAACTGGTGATATATAAAATTTGTGATTTGTGCATCCACAATTTGTCAAACGAGGAAGGGTATGTATAAAGTATTTGAGGGTTCTTGAGGATGCAAAACACTAACTAACACTCTTTTTCGAAATTACTTTCTAAAACATAGGTCATCTACCATTGATTAAAATTGATACTTGTTATATATCCATTTATTTTTTCATACATTAAATTCGCATTAATATTCGAGTGAAATGTTAAATTTAGCTTCAATTTTATCCTGAGAAATTTGATAAAAAGTATAAAATGTTTGCGTTCCTGGTATTGTACGCCTTATCGATTCACAATTGTTTCCTCTTCCTCTATTTGGTCTTCCATCATGTAAGAGAAATCTATTCCTTAATAAAAATTAAGAATCTTATAACTTTAACATTTTTCTTAGAATAGATAAAAACTTTGTAGGACAAATTATTTGTTCTGAAACAGGTCTTTGCAAACTAGCCCTGACCATTAAATTTGACTGTGCCTCCGATTTCGTCATAAGCCGATATACCTTGAGATGTGGCCCAGAAATGCTCTCAGCTTTCATTCAAAAATCATCTACATGGTTCAAAAGATTTATTAAATTTGCGGTTCTAGTAGCGGACTATATATTTTTGGAATAAATGAACAGTAATTGTCTTATAATTATAAATAAGAGAATCCGATATAATTACGCAACTTAAATTATCAAGTGCTTGTAATAAATAACATAAGGATGAATGGTAATTCCAGTAAAATCTATGTACTTCATCTTGAACCACAAAGACATAATTTTCAGAAAAATTTGACTAAACGATATATTCTCCTTCATCTAAATTCATGCTAAGAAGTTTAAAAATTTTACAGGCGTGAAATTCTTCATTTTTAGCACCTTCTGTATCTAAGGAACCAGTTGTGCTAACTAAAAGAAATGACTTTCTTATTTTTTATTGATCTAAATAATTCCAAAAATTTTTACTAATTTTTAAAAGGGGTCGGCTGAAAATGTGCCTTTTTGATAGATTTGCGAGTAAGTATGATTGCTGTCATTAGTATAGAATTTAATTCGGCTTAACTTTTTTAACAGTATATGAATCCATAATTTTATTTATATATTATGTGATGTTTTTTGGATCCATTGATATCACTTTTAGAGGACTGCAAGCGGGTTTTAGCCAACAAGCCTGCATACTAGTTGTTTTAACAATTTTTTAACCCACCCGCCCAATCTTTAAAAATGGCTGGTTAGGTTCTTTATTTATTTTAATATATATTAAAACTTATAAAATAAGTAATATTATGAAATAAAAAATGATTTTTAGTCTGTTCTGCTTATTTCGGCCGAAAAATATTTAAAATTCACTCGCCTATTGTTTCAAAAATATTTTCTAACTCGCCCGCCGAATCTTTAAATTTTTTCAGAAAAGCCCCTAGAAAATGACCGAGTGGGCTAAAAACCCACCTATTACAGACCAATCTATATATTTTATACTAAACCAGCTTTTATGCGAGATATTATAACGTTTTCATGTTTCTTTGCTCATTCTTAAAAATATATGCATAAAAATATATAATAGAGATTACCGAATCTTTTTTAAAAAGGTTCTAGAGGGTTCTGTATTCATCTAGAGATTATTTGTAATAATAAATGATCTAATATCAATTGGTAAAAAAAAAAGGATATATTCGGGAGTCATCCTAGAGTCCAGAGCCAGGCCGAACTATAAAAAAATCGGGGGCGGGGTCTAAATTTTAAAATACAATATCATTCAATTTTGTGAATGTATTTTAAAATTTTTGCAAGAAACAAGGCGGCTATTTTTTATTTGTATTATTTTTACAATTAAAAATATATTACATTTTTCTATTAAATAAATTTGGGCCGGGCGACAAATAATTCTTATTTTAACTTCGGGCTGGGTGGATAAATGAAATAAAGTGCGAGATAAGTGGGCTTGAAAAATTAGGCTCGATGTAGACCTCTAATTTATCATAATAATAATATTAAAAATTATTTTAAAAAATAAGATAAATATGCTTACAAAATATGAAAATTGCAAAAACATTAAATTTAGAATGGGCTATTTTAACAGAATTGTTAAATCAGATAGATCTGGTTCCAGTATGGCACATCTCTAATATATAATCAAATCACTCTGGATTTCGTTATTTTTTGGAAATAGTTATCAATTTCACATTTTAAATAAAAATCCCAAAAACATTTTTTTGAACCGATTTTTGGGGGGTTTAGTTTCAATCATTGGAAATAAAGAAGACAACTTGTAAAAAGGTTAAAATAAAGTAAAAAGATAGATAAAAATAGAATAAAATATATGTATAAATAATGCACCAATAAAACAAACGAAAAGAATTAATCAAAGATAAGAGTAAGAGATACATGATAGAGAAATGGAGAATTACTTGCAATTTTGACATGTGACATCCGATTGGAGACTTCCAGTAAATATCTGGTCTATTATGCAATTGCAATTTTCATTAGTCAAACCATTTGAATTTTCCTTAGTTAAGAATGGAGTAATGTGATTGGTCAAGCCAGTTACATGTGACATGGAAGGTATGCGGGGATTACTCAAAGGGGAAATTTGCAAAGAATCTTCTTGAATACCTTTACGAATTATTAATAACGTTTTGGATTTTAAAACTCTATTCTAGTTCTAATATATTTTATACTTAGTATTATATACTAGCTTTGAGAGTTCAAGTTTGTAAGATATCCATTTAACTAGGGCTGTGTCGATATTAAATATCAGATCGGATCGGTGCCGATATTTAGCGTTTTCCGAAAATATCGGATCTGGCCGATATCTGTAGAAAACCCGATCCGATCTTTTTACTTTTCTTTTTTTGTTATTTTATTTTATATACATTAATTTTACGATTATAATATTTCTAAATTATTTTTTAAAATATTTCTTTTTTAAAATAGATTTATAGTATTTTAAAAGTTTTTTTTTATAAAAATAGAAAGGAACACCCAAATTTTTATTTATTTTAAATCTTTTTAAATAACGCCAATTTTTTTATTTATACTTTAAATAAAAGAATTTTTTTAAATATTGTATCTGAATTATGAAAATATTTTACAAAAGACAAAGATAATTTTGCAAAATGCGTTATCTGCGGAATCATCTGAGTTTGCCTTCAGTACGGCAGAAGATATAGATAGTCCATATCGTAGAAGCTTATTCCCAGAAAATCTAGAGGCTCTCATATTTATTAAAAAAATCTAATATATTATAATTTTATATATTAAATATTACAATTTTATAATTCCAACATAAAATGGATATATTATTAAATATATATTTTTTTATTATAGTCTTAATTGTAGAAATAAAAAAATTAAATTATTCACCTCGATTTTTTGCATAAAAAATATTGATTTCTTAATTACATTTGGTTCAAACGGGGGTGATTAAAAATCAGGAAAAATATCGGATCGGTATCGGATCGGCTTTGAAGCAAGATCGGATCGGTGAAAAATATGTGGATCGGCACAGCCCTACATTTAACATTAACCATTTTTCCTTAAATTCCTTTCATATATATTTCACATTCCATCCACTTAGGTTATTGTCCTCCTTATTACTACTCCAAACTTATAATTAATTTTTTCAACTAGGGTGAAATTTCCCTGACTTTAAATGCCGGAATATATTCTTTATTTCATACACTCATTCTTAATTTTAGTTTCTCTTTTTAATAATTGTTTATTCACTCTTTTTTTTCTTTTGTTTATCTTTTTCAATTGAATAATTACATGTTTCGGATTTCCATTACTACATTCCATTAGCTTTCTTTATAATTTTTCCACTTTATATCCCTTCTTCACATTATTATCAATTCAATTTCCTCTTTACAATTCCTGATACATCACTTCCTATTTCCTGTCATTCACTTTTCATATTTCCTTTCCCTTCTCTTCAGAATTATTATTTCTTTCTTTCTCTCTTAAATTTTCTTCTTTTGGATTAATTTCGGACAAGCTTATATAGCAAGATCGGGCAGTAATTAAATATATATGCAATATAATTACAATCCTTTTTGTAATTAATTACACCTTTAAAAAATAGTAAATAATTATAATTAATTTCCATTATTTTTATAATTACTTTTCTTAAATTTAATTAATTTTTCAGGAAAAACGATTTATAATTGTAATCAATCAATCATATTTTATTTTTTGAGACAATTTGAATCAGACATAATCTCATTTGTATAATATATATATTTAAATTGAATATGTACAAGATTATAATAAATATAACTACAGAATATATTATTAAATTAAATATGTAATAAGCATATAATAAATATTTATATATTACAAATATTAAATTTTTGTTTCTAACCTTATTTTTTGAAAATATCCGTGTTAACACAATATTGTTGTTAAACACCAACTTTGTGGCCAACTTAAATAGGGTTTAGTGAAGCGTTGAGTCTAAAAAATTAATGAGATTATTTTTTTAGGTTAAAACCTAATAAGTTTTGGGAGTTGGCCAAAGTTAGGTGATTTAACAGCACTATTTATATACTGATTCATCAAAAGAAAATGGTTACTAATTAACTTTAGCAGAAATTTTAGCAGGCGGCTGAGTTGATCAAATTTATTAAAAGTATAAAGCCCCTGAGTGTCGTTGAAGATCGTTTCTCATTTTTTAATGATTTTTTACTGATTACAAAAGATTACATGTAATTAGTAATTAATTACTTTAGAGGAGAAATTAATAATTATTAAAAAAATTGCAAGTAATTGTAATTAGGAATTATACCTATCTGCTATATAGCATATCGAAAACCGCAATGAAAAACTTTTTCTTCTTTTTAATTTATTTTCATTCTCTCCTTCATTATATGCTATTTCACGATTAATTTATTTTACCTAAATTAGGGAACTAGAAAGACAAGTGGTTATAAAAAAAACGAGTGTATATTAGAGTCCTGCAAAACGGTCTAGTCAGTCAAGGCTTGACCCGAAAAATATTAATGTTATATTTCATTCATATTCTTTCTTTTTTGCTTGATTCTTCTTCTCTGTTCCATGGCGATTTCCAGGTTTACCCAGGTAGGCCAGTTTTCCCTCTGATTTCTTATCCATTTTTGACGGTCCTGAGCATCAATATTTGTAAGATTCTTGTTCATTTCTCCACGTCATCTTGGGCATTCCTGTAGGTCTTGATTCTCCTACTTCCATCAAGGTGCATCTCTTTACCAGGTCATCTTTTGTCATACGTTCCACATGCCCAAATCATCTTAGTCTATTTAGTCGCATTATCACTCCAATCATTTCTATACCCAATCTTGTTCGCAATTACTTGCTAGTTTCTCTCTCTATGAGATACCCTACATATCCATTAAATCATCCTCATCTCTGTTCTTTCTTTGACTTTGTGGGTCGTTTTCATTGCCTATGTTCCGCCGCCATAAACTAAACAACTCCTCACACAGCCTACTTAAAATTTCCCCTTTAACTTCAGAGAGACTTTCATATTTGTTAGAATAGACGACATCTCTATGAACTTCTTCCATGCTTGTCTGACCTTGCACAATGGCTGAATCTACACCACCATCTGCGTGTAGCATATCACTCAAATAACAATCCACTTTCCTAGAACCCATTGCCAATATCCAGACTGCCATTTTCTACGTTATCATTATTATTAAGTACACCTTTTATGCACGTCCTACAAATAAAGGTCATTCTTGCTAACATCAAACTTCCTTTTTTCTCGCTACATCTATTATGCACCCATTTCTGCATCTGATACATTGGATTGAATTTCCAGCAACTCCTTTCCCAACATCACAAGGCCACTTGCTGGATTCCTCCATCTTTAGATATTACCCACCAATCAACACCTTTGTCTTTGCTGCATTCATTTTCAAGTCCTTTGCTTTCATAGCCCTCTGCCTTCTAAGAATTTATCCCTCAATTCTTCCTCACTGCTTGCCATTTATACAAGGTCATTTGCATATAATAGCCCCAGGGAAGTCCTTCACACATTTCTCTAGCCACCACATCCATTACTAAGATAAATAATAATGGATTCAGCACGGATCTTTGATGAAGTCCTGCCTTCATTTCAAAGCTTCCATTATCTCCATCATCCGTCCGTACCACAGTTTGTGCTCCCACATAAATTACCATCACCAACCATGCGTGGCTGCCTGTCACATGCTTTCTTCAAATTAACAAACGCTTAATACAGTTTCTTTTCCTTCTTAAGATACTTCTCCTGTATTTGTCTAACCACAAAAATTAAATCTGTGGTGCCTTTCCCCGATGTAAAACCAAGCTGCATTTCATTTTAGTTTGTTTCCTTATCCGCTTCTCTAGCACACTCTCAAATACCTTCATTGCATGTTCCAAGATTTAATAACTATGCAAGACCCGCAATCTAAAGGATCACCATTCCCCTTGTATACTGGGATAGTTATACTTCTTCGCCAATCCTCAGAGATAGTTCCTTCTGTGACAATTAGATTGACTAAATTCATTAACCATTCAATCCCTAAGTCATCTGAACCTTTAAACATCTCTGATACCACCCTCGTTAAACTCGCTGCCTTTTCATCTTTTTTACTTGATTAATATCACAATTATAAAATATTAAATAAAAAAAAGTTTTATAAGAATTAGAGTATGGGAAATATTACTATTCATTTTTAATTATCCAAGTTATTGCTAATTTGTAATGCATAACATTAATATAGAGAATTAAATATTTTTTTAAAAATTCGGGCCACGTGAAGCAACGGGTGGGTCATAATTAAAAAAACTGTTACCAGATCTCGGATGGGCGGGCTAGAGTAAAAAAACTGATTTTGTCATAAGTTCATAATTATACTATCATTCTTATTTTCATTCTTCTATCATTCAAAATTTACCTCGAGCATGTCTATGAAGCACATCGAGAGCGGCAATAAAGAACTCATGGGCGTCTTGCTGTTCGTATCCTGACAGATGGCGCGCATTGCTCCAAACCAGGTGCAAAAATCTGTTTGGTGCATGTGCCACACGTCGACCAGGATCACTGCAGTAATAAGCAGAAGCACTTTGATTAATTGTTGGATTTTGTATATTGCTATGATTGGCTAATTTCTCGGAGGGCGCGTAGCATGGTTGACCAATAGGAGAGGACAAGGAATCCACAAAAGTTGAAGAAGGATGGAGAGAGTAGAACTGTTAATATATTAAAAGAGAACAAATTTTTTAAAAAAGAATTAGAAATATTTTAAAAATAGTGAGATTTCAAAAAGATACGAAAGATAAGATAATAAAGATTTCAAAAAATAAGAAGCTTGAAATAAAAATAAATAACTAATGCTGAACTTCAAATAAAAATGCGTTATTCGTTACATCAAAAAAAGAAACGCATTACCGTTACTCGTTACCTATAAAAAAAAACGCTATTAACTGGCTATTCAGAAAGTAACGCATTATTTGTTGCTTGATTAAATATTATATACAAAAATAATATATTATAAGATGAGATCTTTTTATAATTATTTTTCCTAAATATAATATTAATAAAATTATACAAAAATTATATATTATAAGATAAGATATTTTTATAATTTTTTTTAACAATCGATTTTCAAAATTTTGATCAGATAAAGAAGAGAGTGCTCAACACAATGGGAGGATTGTATTATATTTAATAAATAAAAATTTTAATTAAGAGAATTTGTTGAAAAGGGAGGGATAATCTTTATTTTGAAAAAAGCTTTCTAAAGAATTTTTCATTCTAATTTTTTTTAATCATTATCAGAAAATAATCTGGTATGAATATTGTTTTTTAAAGGAATCAAAGCCTGATTTTTCTTTGTCACGATATTTTCTCAAACTAGAAATAACTTTAAGCGATCTACTTTCGTTGACCTATATTTTTAATTTGAGTTCCCAAATTTATTCCACAATTTAAGAAATATTTGAGTTGGAACACAATTTTAAAAAGTGTAGACATTTACATTTGATTGTTTAAATTGGTGTAAAAAATCTTTCATATTAGGTTCAGGGCTGGTTAAATCATATTCATCTGAAGAAATATGTACAATTGACATAATATTCTTTATAAAATAAATTATAATATTAGAGAATAAGAATATAAATTAATAAGCTTGATTGATTCAATATTAATTAGAATAACAATCTTGACTGAAATTTAACATCGAGAATTTAATGAAAGAATTTGGTGTTTGATCTGACTTAAAAACTTGGCTTAAATTATTTATAAAATTCAAAAAATAAATAAAAATAATTTTATAATACAATATGTTTTTTCCATATTTTTTAAGAAAAATTTAAAGTAACGAGTAATGTTTTGCGGTACTGTTACTCAAAAAAAGGAAACGCGTTATCGTTACTTGTTACTTCTATAAGAAGGTAACGAACGAATGGCGTTTATTTAACGCCAGTAATAATGACCTTACTTTACAGCACTATAAATAACAGATTGATTTAAAAGAAAGTTACTTCTTGGAAAAGTGAAGCCAATTCACAAAGCAAGCATTCTTTTGCATCTGGCATTTTACATGAGTGCAAATCGTTGAGAAAATAGCATTTGAAAACCGGGACATGAATAAATGCTTGCAGAATACAGTTCATAAAACAAGTGTTTCCTAAATTAATAAGACCTCTAAGACCTAGGAATATAATATAAAATATATATATTAGATAAGCTTCAATTTTAAACCATTTAAAGCTTATCCCTCAAGATAGACATTCAAAGCAACCATAAGCCGCACAAATTAATAATCAATATGTAAAATAGAGTCATCGAATCAATTTTAATTTTATACTTCTTTTCTATTTTTAATTTTTTGCCTTTTGTCTCATAGTTGCATTGCGATACTTAAATTACAACATAAATAATGGTAAATAATATAGCTATGCTATCGCTTAATGAATCATCCCGCGGCTTAATTTTATCATGGCGCTTACTATAAATGAGGCCTAATACTATCTAATTTGAAAAAGTACAACATGCTACATCAAATAATTCAGTTTTAGATATTTAACACATTATTTTCTTAAAATTTTATTGTACATTTTTAGATACGGAACTAGAAATAATAGACCGAATTATAAAATTCTATGCAAAAAAACTACTTAAATTTAAACTCCTTCCCCTTAATGAAAAAAAAATTCTTGAAAATGTTTTAGCTGAAACTTTGACTTAGTTTCCCATGTTGGAGTTTTAATTGATTTGACTATGTTAATTTTCATGAATTATATTATAATTGTGGAATTTGATTAGAGGGTAGTGACTTAATGATTAGTAAAGTTTCAAAATTGGTGTTTCCAAAAGCTTGCCTCACTTCACGCTTAGAGCGTGATATAGTTTTCATTTTGTTAATAACTCAGTTTCTTTTCGTGGTTCTCATATTTGAGTGAGTTAAAATACTAGTCAGCACACCAGTTATAGTTTTTTATATTTTCCATTTTAGCCCGATATCTCTGGCAATTTTCTTCTTTCTGTATAATGTCTACCAAAGGGATTAAAACCCGTTACTGGTTAACGGTGCATATATGCACCACCTCCTATATACCTTCTTTTAACATAGTAGTTTTTATTTTAAAAAATAATAAAAAAGATTTTTATATAGTTCAGACATTGTACTTCAAAACTGGAAAAGAAAAATATGAAAAAAAATATTTTTTTATGTTCCTAAGAAACCCTCAAACTTTGCGAATTTATGAGGTCTAAAATGCAAAATTTTCTAAGTGATCTCACAAGCATATTATAAAATTATTTCGATGAAAACTAGTGTGTATATATTCTTTATAGATATATCAATATTTATCAATCATTTTTGAATTTTTAAATAATTAAAATTTTAATAGGTAACCACATAAAGTTGACTGTTGCATATATGCACCGTTAACCATTAAGCAGTATAAATTATTTTAAAAAATTCAAACAAATGAAATTTAACATAATGAATTATAATTTTTTTATATTATACTTAAAACCACTACCGTCACTAAGGGTGGGAGGAGGAGGGGTGGGTGGCTCGAGCCCCCTTAGAATTTTTTTTAAAAAATTTTATACCCAAAAAAGACCTTTTGAAAATAATTTAAAAATTTTTTTTAGCCCCTGAGATTAAATCGAATAATATATTGTTCCTATTATAATTTTTTATCCCGATCAAATTATATGAAATTATTAGGTTCATAAATATTCAAAAGTTTAAAATTATTTTTAGCCTCTTCCTTTCTGAAGATTTTATTTTATTTTATTTATATAAAATATTATGCACCTGTTTTGTCAATTCAATCAAAATAATAGATGACTAATAAAAAAAATCAAGATTCTACGAAAATAATTTGTCAAGATATTTAATTTTAATAAATTTTTTTAATGAAACGTTTTATAACAATTGAACAAGCGCTTGCTCAACTTTTTGAAGAGGAACCAATTGAAGAAAGAGATATGGTTATAATTCCGCCAAACCCCTCTGCAGTTAGTGATGAAGAAGATTTCGATAAAAATGACGTAACAAATGTCGGAGTTTTGCCTTCAGATACAGCTGGAGAATTGGAGATTCATAATTCAGTTGATGACGACCTTCCAGAACCATATTCTACAAGAAGCTATTCTCGAATTTCTCACAATTTAAAATGGAGAAAAACGGATGCAATATATTCTTCAAGCCCTTTCAATGGAGAAAAGGAAGATGTAATAAAACTTGAAAATGATTTACATGGTAAAAGTCCATCAGATATATTTTCTTTAATTTTCGACGAAGACTTATATTCCCTAATTGTAGAACAAAGTAATATTTATGCTAAACAAATGAATAGACCTAACATATGCATAACCATCCAAGATATTCAGAGATTTATTGGAATTCTATTTTTTACTGGATATCATTCTCTCCCACAAGAAAGAATGTACTGGTCTAATGATAGCGATATTTCTATTCCAATAATCTGGGATACAATGACCCAATTACAATTTCGAAACTTGAAATATAATATCCATTTGGCAGACAATACAAAAATAGATATACATGATAGATTTTATAAAGTTAGGCCTTACATTAATATATTGAATAATAAATTTCAGCAATTCGGAATTTTCAAACATCATTTATCAATAGATGAACAGATGATACCATATCGAGGAAGACATTCTTGCAAAATGTTCATAAAAGGAAAACCAATTAGATTCGGATACAAGTCTTGGATATTGGCTTCTTCCGACGGTTACGTATTCTCATTTGATATATATCAAGGAAAAAGCGAAAATAAATATGAATATGGATTAGATGGAAATGTAATCATAAAATTATTAAAGGCATTGCAAAAACCAAATTATCATAAAATATATTTTGATAATTTCTTTTCATCATTTAAACTCTTGTCATACTTAAAACAAATGGGATATTTTGCAACTGGAACTGTGAGGGACAATAGAATAGAGCATTGCCCAGTTGAATCTATAAAGGTTGTAGCAAAAAATGAAAGAGGATATTATGATTATAGGTTTGAAAAATTAAACGAAATATTGTAGTTCGTTGGAATGATAATTCGGTGGTGACCGTTGCATAGACATGCCACACTATCTCTTTGCTTTCTAATGTTTCAAGGTATTCTAAGAAAATATCTTCTAAAATAAAAATTCCTCAGCCAAATATGGTAACTGCTTATAACAAACACATGGGTGGAGTTGATCTATGTAGTGTTGTTAAACGGCTCGTTTTGAGCCGATTTTTAAAAACGGCTAACTCAATATTTCGTTCAGAATAGTAATACGTAAGCCTGAAGATTTTGTTTGTAGAAGGAACAATGGTTTGGACATCTATTAGCGAAATCTCGAGGCTTAGACAATATTTTTCTGGCTAAAATATTGAATTAGCCGTTTTTAAAAATCGGCTCAAAACGAGCCGTTTAACAACACTAGATCTATGTGATAATCTAATATCTACATATAGAATATAAATAAGAGGAAAAAAATGGTGGTGGCCAATATTCACCAATTTTATTGATGTAGCTTTGGTAAATTCATGGAAAATCTGGAAATTCGTGAATCGAGATGACAAGAAGAGTTTGCTTGCATTTAGACGAGAAGTTACTAACTACCTCCTTCGAATGCCAGTAAAAATTGAAAAAAATTCAAGTACAGGTTACGCCAGCCAGTTTGCATTACAGTGTGAAAACCCTATTGATTCATCTGGACATTATTTATCCAAAATTATAGATGGAAAAAGACGAAGATGCAGATATTGCCATACGCACTCAAGATATATGTGCCAAACATGTCAAATCGCATTCCATATTAAATGTTTCTAGGATTTTCATAATATATAAACATTTTCTCTTTTTTATTATAAATTACAAAAAAAGAATAAAGATATTTGTTGTTTTTTGTCTTATAATATTTTATATAATTTTTATCTTTTTTACATTCCTCTTCCGGTATGACTTTCACATTTTTTACTATACATCTATCACATCTCCTTAACAAATAATCCACTGCACTTTTGGTACTACCCTAAGTCATCAGCTTCTCTTATTCTTTCTAAAACATTGTATGTATTACAGACAATCATATCCATAGCATCACTAAAATCTAAAATCCTCTACCCTTCCAAATTATCATATCCATAGCATCACTAAAATCTAAAATCCTCTACCCTTCCAAATTTCTCATTCCGTAACGGAATCCTCCATGTACTCCTTCATAACCCTCAATACACGCTCTCACATGTCAATTCAGATCACCAGCCAGGATAATCCCCTCTTCATTTGCTAGTCTCGATATCGCCCCCAATAGACTGTCCCAAAATATATCTTTCTCTTCTTCATTTCTTCCAACCTGAGGAACACGAGATAATATTATATAGCTTTCTACCAAAAATCATCTTGATAACCATTATCTGGTTATCTAGCCTGCTCACTTCGTCTATCGTGTCCACCAATTTCTCCGCAACCAATACCCCAATTTTAGCTTTACCATCATTGCTTTCTTGCCAGAAGAATTTATACTTTTCACTAGTCTTGCCAATCGTTCTTTCGCCATTGCCTTCCCATCTTATCTCTAGTATGCAGTACACATCTATATGCCTTATATGCAATACATCGACAAAATGATAATATTGAATATAAATCAAATCAAGACTGCTATGGAGAGTTAAAACAGTAATTATAGAATTTTAAAAAAAATTTAATATTACATAGATTCATTTTTTACTATTATATATAAAATAAAGTTAATATCGTCTTAAAAAACATTTATTTGAATTTAACCATAGTTGACCGGTCAAATGCACACTGCATCAAAAATTTAGGTAACTTTGACTCCTTTCTGACAGATTAACTATTTAAGAGACATAGTGCCATAACCAGAATTTTTTAATGAGGAGGGGGATGTTTAAAATTTTTATGGGGCGTCGCTCTTAAACCCTATATTACCTGGCCATTGGCCGGGTCCCTACTATAAAAAATTATATTATCGATTTTTCGGTGGTCTCTATATAATTTTCTTTAAATTGGCTAAACAAGCCCTATTTCTAAAATGTGTATTAGTGTCTGACTTTAACCAGTATAAAAGAAAAAATTATTAGTAACAAGATTTTGGCCATCCATACGATTTAAAAGTGACTAAGCATTTATTCAGTAAATTTTATTTCATGTTTAG